TTGAATGGGAATATTTATATTATGGTTGCCTCCGTTCAGGGGCACCCAACGAGAATATAGTTCAAAACCACGTAAACATGGCATTTTTGAACGTATTTTAGTATTTAAACGGTAGATAAAGGCATATTTTTATCCCATAAAAATTTTTCATCTGTTCGGATTTCCTAGCTGAAAGTCTAGTGATTCGAAACTTATAGGGATCAAACCTTACCTTTTCGAAAATTTCAGCCAGAAACAAGGCTTCCGAAAATTCTAGGTGACCTTTTTAGGGTAAAAATCCGTTAAAAATGGGCAATTATACCAATTTTTAGATGTTCGAAAATCCTTGGAGAGGCAGGCAAGCAACAAATTTTACAAAAATGATCCGAAAATTCTAGATCTCAAATCGTCTTCCGAACAGATAATTTTCAGAAAATTGTCGTTGGGTGCCCCTGTCCGTTAGCAGGCTACTTGATGAAGAAAATGAGCCTATATTGCCCCTTTTCGATTGCTCACGTTGTACACAAAAGTCATAATTTCTTTTGCTCATATGATAAATCCTGTATCCTGGGATATTGGCTTTCTTTTTCTTCTGTGCGACCCCTCCTCCATCCATAAAGATGCACAAAAAAACTGGCCATTATCTAGCAAGATATTGACCTCACACTTGGTCAATAACGCATGTACTTTTACGCTTACTTAGTATACAAAGGTTTAGACGGTTTCGTCGTATTTGAAAAATGTGTTGAGTTCTTTTTCGTTTTCTGTTACCCGAGGACCCTCACAGAGAGCGGCAGGATACCGGGAATGTCCTTCAAATGTAGCTTTTATACTAACATTGCAAGGTTCATTGTTTCCCTTCCTCCTTGCACCTTAAAACGCAATGAAGTCATTATTTACATAGCTGCATCGTTAGTGCATAGATATATCCATTGAACTAGAATCGAAGACCCGCTAGCTCATCCACGACCAAGCCAAGACAATATCTAAACGGCAGTATTTAACACAATCAAATTTGAAGCTGAATTTTTGGAATCGACATTCGTGTCTAAATCTTTAAAACTAAGTCACAGCCACCACATTTCCACAGAATGCCACACGCAGTATTTCCGCTGAAATTGCTTACTACACAGAGCGGAAACTCGCTTCACCTGCAGCTTTTTAAAATCGATCTCTCAGGTTTTTACGGTGAATTGCTAGGTTTGGTGTTACGTGTTTGGCTAATTTAAAATTAGGCATAACGGTCCCTAGTAAATTCGTCTTTGAATGTAAAATAATGGCTTGAATTATCGTCTTTACTATATATGGAGTACCAAAAACAACTTTGATGTTTAATATACAACCACTATGGACGACAGAAGTATATATTAACTGGATGAATCATAATCTTACCTGTTTCTTTAGACGTCAAATATCAAAGTCATTTGTCTAAAAAAAGGAAAGTAATTAATCAAGTAAGTACATTAAAAGCAAAATGGATTGCAGGATTAGACTTTTTCTCTTGGCTGAAGCAAGCACACTTCTTTCAAAAGAAAATCAATGTTTTATCGTTTATTTAATTAAAGAGCAAAAATGTTTCTTTTTCATTTAAAAACACTGACCTTCTTGCGTCTGAAAAGTATAAGGATTTAAATCAGGTTTTGTTTCCCCTCTGACATGCAAATATCTACTTCCGCAATTATGTTTTCTAGATTAACATTTACTGCGTACTAAACATTCTGCAATTAAAAGTGAGCTAATGTCTCAAAACAATGTCAAATCTTGTTCCTTACTTTAATATCTCCAGGTGGAAAAACCCAAACTCCCTAGACAAATGATTGAAATCGAGGACCAATAGACGCTTCGGTTAGTTAGTATAGGTTCAAGCTTTTGCAGCTGTAGTTTTACACTTACTTACAACCATCACACGGCCACAGCAAGTTTATTGCACACTTTCTAGCTTGCGCAAGTCTAAATATTGAAACTTTAAGGCTTTGCTACTTACCAGAAGTAAAAACAGGGGAATAAGACTTCAATCCTGTAAAAAACTGTGATCAGTCCGTTTTACTACTTATCAATGCAGATACATTGACGTCACATCGACTTTCTGCTTCAGTGATGTCGTGATTCAGTATTTTTGACAGTATTATATTGTGCGGTTGTGAAGACATTCAATATAAGGCAGCTTAGCAACCACGACAGCAACATTACCGTCAAAAGAGAAAGCGATACACGCTGTTTACAAACATTGAGTTTTTCATTGAAATGTGCAACAAATGAAACAATGCATGCACTTGAGGTTGCCACGTGATTAGGGAGCTTACGCAAACACGACTGCGATAATAACGACTGGTACGTCAAATAATAATAATAATAAAAACAACAATATTAGCGTTTCTAGGAGCGGATTACGTCACGTCCGCCATTTTGGCGTCCCTATACAACAAAACGGTGACCATGTGGGTGCCTCAATAAATTTGCATGGCTGCTGGCCACGTGAGTGAAAACGTTCTAACAGCACACCTTTCGGTACATTTCTTTCACAAATTTCACGTTTTATGGTGAACGTGAACACAACACGATTTTTTTTCTGTATTTTTCTTTCCTGAACTTGGACTGAAGGACTCTAAGAATTCCACTCCAGAAAATTCGCTTACATTTGCAGACAAATTAAACGAAATGGAATCATGCGACGAAGCTTACCAAAGCGTGAATTGTTCCTTCACGCGATGGACGTCATTGTCGAAGTATAATAAAGATCATGATGGCGATGATGCTGCAAATGGTGTTGCTGATGTTGACAGTGATGATGATGGTCTTATTGGTGGTATGACGACGATAATGATGATGATGAATGAAAAACGCACTCCATTAAAACCACGGATTCATGATCAGATCCTCAAGCAAGTGGGGGAAGCTGCTCATCCACACCGTGATAAGAGGGGGCCTGACCTAGAAAATAATACTTCTTGACCATGCGCGCCTCAGTTTGCCTTAAAAATAGGTTGGGGGCCCAGGCCCTCGTTCGGGCCCCTCTGTTAAAACTGCCAGTGAAAATGATAATGTAACTGGCACGAAAGTGCTAATTAAGGACACTGTTTTTACATCTCCCACCAGAGATGGGACCGCCATTTCTACGTTGTCAGCTCAGCCATACAATTAAGGGAAGGCCTTGCCTTTAGATTAGGGTACGTAAAATCCGACCTTATGTGTCATTCATCCGTACATCACACGTACGCTGAATCGCCCCGCTGAATCCAGCTCCAGATTGGAAAAGAAGTAAGTGTGTTTTGGCCATTTTGCAGTCCTGTGTCGAATCATACCATGAAACGGTTTTGGGGACAATTTTTGCCCCATTTTTCTGCGCAATCTCGTTCAGTGGAACCTCTCCTTTGGGACTCCTCTATTCAAGGGGCACCCCCATTAGGCCTTTCCAGATTCTGCTCCGAAAAAGCTAAAAAGTTGCTAAGAAATATGCCAAAAAGTTGCTCCAAAGTTGCTCAAAAGTTTTGTAAAGTTGCTCAAATATTTTTAAGACAGTATGTCTAATTTTGATAACAGTTGCTTTGTAATCAACATTAAGCTACAACTAAGTAACTAGTTACAACAAATTAGGCAACCTTTAGTTGAATCTAAGTGGGTAGTTACAAAAAGTTAGACGGTAAGTGTAACAATCTGCTGTACAAATCTACAATAGCTAACTTTTGTTTTCGTGCGTTTTCGCCCTCACGAGAAGGGAAAAGCCCTGGGAACAAGGTTGAGGCTACCCAAACCCAAACCCAATTCTTGTAATTATTACCATGTCCACATGATAACCTTTCAAAGGGTAAAAATATGAGTTTTACTAGAAAGATGTTTAGAATTTTAACTTGTTTATTTTTTTTAAAAAAGGGGGTTATTCAGCGTTTTGGTTCAAAATAGCCCAAAAGTTACCAAAAAAATGCTAGTTTTCCGAAAAGTTGCTAGAAGTTGCTCTCTGACAAAAAAGTTGCTCAAAATCCTAAAAGTTGCTAAAAAGTTGCCGAGCAGAATCTGGAAAGGCCTAACCCCCATTCAGGGGACATGAGCACGGGACACTAGATTTGGTCCCGGAGAAATGTTCACATAATCTTTGTATTTGTCGCCTCTATTGAAGAGACACCTCTATTCAGGGGAACGGGACACTTTTTCTGGGTCCCGAAACCTGAGTTTAACCTCTGTTCAGGGTTCACCTTAGCAATTAAAGTACGTCAAAAGTGACTAACCACAAAAACGTCGATTTTAAGTGTTCATTAGTCACAGGGGCGACAGCTTTCAAAACATCACACAATACATTATATAGCTGCTTTGAATAACGACTGCAGCAGATTCTGTAGCCTGCGAGAGCAGAAGCCTTTATCGGCTCTAATAATAATACTTTATGTCTTGGTTAATTATCAACAAACCTCAGCCCAACCTCCATTCAAGAGACATCTCTATTCAGGGGGCATGTCCCTTGGTCCCAAAGGTGTCCCCTGAGTACAGGTTCCACTCAGAGTAATAGCCAATAACTGAGACGCAAGTCCTATATTGCAATTCGACAATACACCGACCCAGCCTCTAGCGCAGCAAATAACTCCATATTTAATCTGGTTTTTGTTTCCTTTTACGTACAACAAACCGCTTCATTACTGAGTGGTTTAGGGAATGTGCTAGGGCAGTTTAATCCAGTTTCTTTAGTCTTTCACAATTTCTTGCCCTGAAACTTGACGTTGTAAATTACAAAATTACGGCTTCGTTCCAAATCATACTTTGATGCTTTGTCTCCTACTTCCGTATGTGCTGATTCTGTTGCTACGTTCCATTCAAGTATTTGTAATATCTTACACATTGACGAATTTTTTTTCACATGACTAGTAATTTTATTTGTATTTATTTATTTACTTGTTGTCATTTTGTTTATTTATTTCGCTGTCAATGTCATGAACTTCCGTGTACTGACCGTGCATTGCCAGATTAGTTCGCCACTGAGGCAATTATATCAGTTACAGATGAAAGGAGTCGTATAAGGCTGCTGTCGCGGGTTACTCATCACTGCAGTGCACCAAAACAAACGCATGCTTTGAAGTATCAGAATTGGCGTTACTGGCAAAGCGCGTATCCCTACCAGCATCCAGCTCGTTTGTTGCGCGTATCACCAAGCCGTTATTAGGTACTCCACTACTCCAGTCCTTCACCGCATTTGTGACGTCAAACTCCACAAAACCTTTGGGTCTGTGGGGAAAGATAGTGACAGTTCCCTGCTGGGGAGTTGCCTCAGCGTCGGTGCCGTCCAGCGCTAGCCATCGGGAAGACCAAGGGCTGCCAGGTAGGTGCATAGTACTGGTTGTTTGAGATTCAACCCACGGTTTTTTAACCAGGTGCACTTGCAGGTGGCGTGGAATAAAAGGGACACTTTTTGCAGTGTCAAAACTTGCTTTGTGGGAATATTCATAGTACAAGTACATTTTGGCGGAAATTACATTTGATGAAGGACACGAGCTGGGAAGATCTTCAAACTGGACCAATGAGCGTTTGTTGGGATATCCTGGGTGTCTGGATACTATGAGATATTCATAACTGTTGTAGTTTACGCTTCCACTTTCCAGCCACACAGCTTGAGTCACGCTTAGCTTGTACACTTTACCGGCGCCTGTGTCAAATGTCATCACACCACAGGAGGAGTTACTCTGACACCGCCATCAAGAAGGCCATAACGCTTGCTGCTGATTGTTCCATGCCCTAATTTAATCGAAAAGGGCACGGTCTTATATAAGGGTAGTCTCCCTCGCAGCCGTTTTTTGGATGTCACGCAACGCTCCCCGTTGCGTGACATCCTGAAAACGGCTGCGAGGGAGACTGATAGAAGTGGTTACTGCTTGTAATTTAAGTGGTAAATTAACGCAACATTTCTGTCATATCTCTTGAATGGTGATATTTATTATTAGCCGACTAGTTCAATCGATAAAAACCGATATCGGAAAACCATTCGATAAATCGATAACCATCGATAATTCAAATTTAAACGTTATCGATTTTATCGATCAATCGATAGAAATCGATACTCACAACCATCGCTGCTCTTTTAAGGTATTGAATTTATTGATTTTATCGTTTTTATTAAGGATCGTGTATTGTAAATACAAATTACCGGTTCTTCCGAGATAGCCGGTTTGAAAAACAAGCTGTGTTTTTGCCGATGCGTTTAATAAGGGGCTTGCATCTGTTTTTTCTGGGCATCTTAAGACCTTCTCGCTCGCTCATAGCCCGGAATTGTTGTAAGCGCAAATAGGATCAACAGAATCAAGCAAATGAGTTTCAAGAATTTCTTTTATTCGAGGGGGGGGTACTTTAGGAATTTCTGGGTGGGGATGTGCCGCTGGGACACTGGAACCCTTAACCTATACCAGAGCTAGTTCAGCTGAATTTTGCTACCCTATACTAGAGTAAACTCCCCAAATCCCCCTATCCTAGAGTAGCTGTTTCCCTTGTCTAGATAAAATATCTTCAACCAACTGATCACTTTCCTGAAAAATGATACCCTATTCTAGACCCAAACACTCTGATTTATATACCCTATCCTAGAGTAAACTGCCTGAAAACCATACCCTTCACAGCGGAACATACCTATTTAGCCCATATATGGCAGTACCCCCTCCCCCGGGCTTGAATAGTTTCGAAGTAAAATTCAAGAAGTTGTTACGTTTTGTTTCTCCGCTGAAACATGTTAAGTATAGTACCGATAATGTTACATATTTGATCAATATTTGATTTGTGAAATAAATCTTTAAACTTATCTTACGAGAGCAATGTTTTGTTAGACTGGTTTTCGGGAAGTTCTGATGCTTCGCTGCCCTTAAACGTGGAAACGTATTGCGCCGATAAATTTGATAAGTTCGATAAAATCGATGACAATAATTTAAAAATCGATAATTATCGATTACTCACAACGTATCCCTTTATCGATTTTTATCGATTTTCGATACAATTAACTAATTCTTATCGATTTTATCAATTGTTATCGATTATCGGTTTTTTCGATTGAACTAGTCAGGATTATTATGGTTGGCTCCATAAGCAGGCTACAGGTGGTTTGCACAGTGATGTCCTCAAATTTGAAAGTCAAAATAGCGAAGTTTTACGAATTCTTATTTACACTATTTGTACAAGTTTCCAGTCCCGTAGAATGTTTCATTTCGAAAATACAGCAATTTGAACTTCCAAGTTGTCATAGTGCAAGACACCAAAATAGGAATGCTTTCTCGTTGAAAAAGAAAAGTCTCCGAGTCTCCTCTTGATTTTCAGCAGTATAGCCATTTCAAGTATTAGAAGATGCGTTTATGCGCAAGTATGCTAGTTCTAGAGTGAAAAGAAAGAGCTTTTATAGGAAAAGTGAACTCCAGATGTTTTTGTTGATTTCCGACGGCCATATTGGTGTGTCAACATCTCCTTACTGAAAGGTGCGTGAAACGTTTCCGCAAACAACTCAGAAACTGTGGGCCACAAAGACCTGAGACTTGGCAAAATTGTTTATATATTAGTCTTTTATAACATTCCATTTTCTTGGCTTCTTCCACTTGACGGTTTCCAATTTATATTATTGCGCCGTGTTTATTGCGTGACAGTGAAAACGATCTTTTGTTACTTCAGCCTATATTGAGGTGAAAATGAGTCTATATTGTCCCCTTCCGATTGCCCACCTTGTTCTCAAATGTCATAATTTCTTTTGGCCATATCATAAATCCTTTATTGACGAAGAGTGAGGTCAAGATGGGCGGATTTTCTTCTGGCTAATATCTAGCAAGGTATTGACCTCACACTTAAGGTGATGTTACGCGAGACGATTCGCAACGACGATTTTTAGCGCAACACAGCGTTGCAACATTGTTTCGACATTGTTTCGAATAGTCACAACATAGTTCCAACATTGCAACGCTGCGTTGCGCTAAAAATCGTCGTTGCGAATCGTCCCGTGTAACATGACCTTTAGTCAATAACGCGTGTACTTTTACGCTTGCTCAGCATACAGAGGTTTAGACGGTTTCATCATATCTGAAAAATGTGTTGCTCAGTTGTTTCTCGTTTTCTGTTACCCGAGAACCCACGTAGAGAGCGGCAGAATAGGAATGTCCTTTAAATGTAGCTACATGTATTACACTAAAATTCCAACGTTCATTGTTTTTCTTCCTCCATGCACCTCATCATCAGTTAACACCGAACGGAAGTCATTGTTTGCATAGCCGCAACGTTTGGTACAGAACCAGCCAAGACAAGTTCTAAACGCCAGTATTAAACACAATCAAATTTGAAGCTGAATTTTTGGATACGACATTCGCGTCTAAATCTTTAAACTGAGTAACTAAAGCCAGAGCCACAACATTTCCACAGAATGCCACATCCAGTATTTCCGCATGAAATTGTTTAGTACACAGGGCCCAAACTCGCTTCAACTGCAGCTTTTTTTAATCGATCTTTCAGGTTTTAACTGTGAATTGCTAGGTTTAGTGGAACGTTTTTGGCTAGTTGAAAATTAGGCATAACGCGGTCTCTAGTTAATTCGTGAAGTATCAATAACAACTTTGATGGGTAAACCACTATGGACGACAGAAGTGTATTTAATATTAACTGGATGATTCATAATCTTACCTGTTTCTTTCAGACGTCAAATATCAATGTCATTTGTCTAAAAAATGGGAAAGTAATTAATCAAGTGAGTATATTAAAAGCAAAATGGATATCAGTATTAGACCGCTTTTTCTCTTGGCTGGAAGAAAGGACACCTCTTTGAAAAGAAAATCAAAGTTTTACTGGGAGAGACATTATCCTTCATTTAATTAAAGAGCAAAAATGTTTATTTTTTTATTAATGTAAAAACAATTTCTTGCGTCTGAAACGTAAGGTTTTAAATCAGGTTTTTGTTTCCCCTCTGATATGGAAATATCTACTTCCGCATTCATGTTTTCTTGATTAACATTCACTGTGCACTCATTCTGCAAAGTGTGCTAATGCCTCAAAAGAATGTCAAATCTTGTTCCTTCCTTTAATATCTCCAGGCGAGCAAACATTCTAGACGAATGATTGATATCGAGACCAATAGACGCTTCGTTTAGTTAGTATAGGTTCAAGCATTTGCAGGTATAGTTTAACACCTACGCACAACCGTGACTACACGGCCATAGCAAGTTTATTGCGCACACTTTCTAGTCTTTCTAGCTTACGAAAGTCTATATACTGAAACTCAATCGCTACTTACCAGAAGTAAAAACAGGGAATAAGACTTCAATCCTGTAAAAAACTGTGATCAGTCCGTTTTACTACTTATCAATGCAGATACATAGACGCCACATCGATTTCTGCATCAGCGATGTCGTGATTCAGCATTTATGACAGCATTATATTGTGCGGTTGTGAAGACATTTGATATAAGGCAGCTTAGACATTCGATACTGAGAGACCTTAGAAACCACGGCGACAAATTCAACGTCAAAAAAAAAAAAGCGATACTCGCTGGTTACAAACACTATTTTTTTACTAATGAAACAAAAGAATCTTTAGTTTCAAGAAGCGGTGCACATGTGGTTGGCACATGATTAGGGAGTTCACGCAACCAGCGACGGCGACGGCAACGTATTTTATATTAAAGTGGAACCTCGACATAACGAACCTTATTTTATATAACGGAGTTTTCGGTATAACGAACGATTTTCTTGACTCCAGTTATAGTAAGATTTATTAAAAGGAACTCTATATTACGAAACCTCGATATAGCGAACACATTTTGCCAGCCCCTTGGCCCTTCGTTAAATCAAGGTTGTTCCACTGTGGAGAGATTAAGTATCTCGTTTACGGCAAAAGTAAGATTCAAGATGAGATATTTTCGAAATGCATGAGTAATAAGGAGATAAAACTGCTCAAAACTATTCTTATGTATAGAATTGGCGTATATCTACCGATTTTTTTCGTAGTAGTTACAATGAACTGTAAACGACAAGTAAATGGAAAACTTGGGTCACGTAGTACAAATTCACTTTTACCGTTCGCCGTAAACGTGATATTAGCGTTATTAAAGTCTGCCATATTGGTGCCCCGAAGTGTTTTGGCCATTTTGCAGTTCTGAGTCGAATCATATCATGGAACAGTTTAGGGGACAATTTTTGTCCCATTTTCCTACACAATCTCGTACAGTGTAACCTCTGGGACACCTGCATTCAAGCTGGGACACCACCATTCAGGGAACACAAGATTTGGTCCCGGCAAAATCTTCATATAATCTTTGTATTTGTTACCTCTTTTGAACGGACACCTCTATTCAGGGGAAAGGGGCATTTTTTCTGGGCCCCGAAACCTCAGGGTTTAACCTCCATTCATGGATCACCTTAGCAATCAAAAGTACGTCAAAAGTGACTGACCGCAAAAATCGTCGATATAAGTTTAAAGGTTCACTTGTCACAATGATGACAGCTTTCAAAACATGACTTAACTCACTTAAATCAATGCACTGCATTTGTGGGAATTCAACACACAACATCGCAGAGATTCGCAGAGATAAGTTAATCATGATTTTTTTATATATTTTCTAGCTGAGTGAAATGATGACTGCATCAGATTCCGTAGCCCGTGAGAGCAGATGCATTTATCGGCTCTAATAACAATATTTTATTTGTTGGTC